TGAAATCATATGATATTTGTCTTTCTCTGACTTATTTCATTTAGTAATATACTCTCTAGCTCCATCTGTGTTGTTGCAAAAAGCAAGATTTCATTATTTTTTATGTCTGAATAATATTCCGTTGTGTATATATACCACGTCTTTTTTTAAATGTTTATTTATTTTTGAGAGAGAGAGTGAGAGAAAGATAGGCCACAAGCAGGGGAGGGGCAGAGAGAAAGGGAAACACAGAATCTGAAGCAGGCTCCAGGCACTGAGCTATCAGCATAGAGCCAGACGTGGGGCTTGAACCCATGAACTGTGAGATGTCTTGAGCCAAAATCAGATATCCAACCAACTGAGCCATTCAGGCACCCCTATACCACATCTTCTTTATCCATTCATCTATTGATAGACTTTGGACTGCTTCCATAATTTAGCTATTCTAAATAATGCTGCAATAAACATAGGGTGCATATATCCCTTTGAAGTAGTGTTTTTGCATTTAAGGGGTAAATACCCAGCAGTAAAATTACTGGATTGTAAGATATTTCTATTTAAAATTTTTAAGGAACATCCATACTGTTTTCCACAGTGGCTGCACCAGTATGCATTCCACCAACAGTGCAAGAAGGTTCCTTTTCTCCACATCCTCACCAACACTTATTATTTCTTGTGTTTTTTATTTTAGCCATTCTGACAGGTGTGAGGTGATATCTCATTGTAGTTTTGATTTACATTTCCCTGATAATGAGTGACGTTGGCCATCTTTTCATGTGTCTGTTGGCCATCTGTATGTCTTCTTTGGTGAAATGTCATTTTCTAGTTTCTTAAGATAGTCACTTAGTTCATGACTCTGGAGCTTTCTTCCTTTCTAGTGTAAGTATTGAAGGGTATAAATTTCCTTCAAAGAACTTCTTTTGATGTACTCAACAGATTTTGATAGGTGGTATCTTCATTTTTCATCCAGCTCTAGGTATTATTTATTCCCCCTATGATTTCTTTTTCTTAACCCAACTTGGGCCAATAGGATTTGGCTTCTCTATATTTGGAATAAGGATACTACATTTCAGAGTCAAGCATTTGTGTGGTGTTAGGCTTCATGGTGCTTTAGAGCTGGGGCAGCCAATGTCTCAAAATACAATCATTATAGACAAGGAGGGAAGCTAAATATCTACAAGGAGAGAATGGAGGGATGCAGACAAAAGATGAATGGACCAATGAAAGATTAAAAGAACCGGATAGATTTATACAACTCATGAGACCCAGATGTGCTTCCTGTTTTTTTTTTTTTTTTTTTTTTTTTTTTTTTTTTTTTTTTTTTTTTTTTTTTTTTTTTTTTTTTTTTTTTTTTTTTTTTGCTTCGTGACATTGTCTTGCACCTTTACAATATATTTTTCAATTTTTAGCATAATTTCAGATATATGGAAAATTTCTAAGAATAGTACCAAGAATCCCAATACACTTCACTCACACTCTCCAACAGTCAACATTTTACCACACTTGTTTTATTCTTTTCTATCTCTGTGTATAGACACTTTTTCCCCCTCAGCTGTTTGAGAGTAAACTGAAGAGACAATACCCTTTCACCCTAAATACATAAGTTTACATTTCCTAAGGCTAACACATTCTCTTACACAACAATAGCATAATAGAATTAACACTGATATAATATTATTATCTAATCTACAATCCTTATTCATTTTTGCCAGTTGGCCCCATAATATCCTTTTTGGAAATTATGTGTTGCCCTCAGGTCTGATGTCTCCTTAGTCTCCTTTAATCTGAAACAATCCCTTAATATTCTTTTTTTCAATCTTCCTTTGTGTTACATGACCTTGACATAGATGAAGATTACAGGCCAGTTCATTTCTAGAATATCCTTTAATTCCTATCTGCATTCCTCATTATTAGATTCAGATTATGTATTTTAGTCAGGAATATCATTGACATACTGTCAGATCCTCAGTATTTCATGCCAGGGGGCCCATGATGCCATTTCATCCCATGACTGGTAATGTTAACTTTGATCATTTGAATAAGGTGGCATCTATCAACTATGGAATTACTATTCTTCCCTTAGTAACTAGTAAAACAAATGCTTTTTTTTTTTTAGCTCTGCTTGAGGTTGAGTGAGCCTCTGCTCCTTGAAAATGATCCATTTTGTATCCATTAAGCCCATTCAAACTGGCTTAAGAAAGAGGGTCATTGATTGGAGAAAAAAAAAAAAAAAAGAGGGTCATTTATGTTGCAACTAACTAGAGTCATCATTCAGATTGGCCTAAGTGGAGAGGGGAATTTATAGTCCAGAAGTGACTTTAACTTCAGGCACAGCCAGATCCAGGAGCTTGCTGTAATCAAGAACTTGTCTTATTCATAGTTATTTATATAAATAAAAGGGACTAGATTCTGGACAGACAGAAGCAATAGGTACTTGCTACATTGATTCAGGCAATGACAAAGAGGAAACCGGAAGTGCATGAAGAGACCCAACCACAGCATGGAGTTCCTTTGGAGAGACTTACCCAAGTTGTTCAAGTGGTGCTCAGCAACCCAGGACCAGGATTATCAGCATATTCTCTAACCTGGCCACAATGATTGGTTCAAGGATTAAAACTCACGATGGGCTGAGGAAAAACAGCCCCAGCACTTTCTAGAACTATCAGCTTTGAGGCACTGTGGCTGCTGAGCTTGTGGAATGCCAGCCTAGAACTGTAAGTGGTCATCTTTCTTTCTTAAATGAAGAGGAGGATGAAATCAACACAGAGAAAAGCAGAGCCAAACGACACAGAGAGCTAGGCCCTTCATGGCTTTGTTTCAATACTGTATCCAGCAGTGCTTGAAGCCAGCACTCCCCTGGGATTGTCAGCTGGAACAGCCAATAAATTCACTTTTCCTGCTTAGCCAGCGTGGAAACAAAATGTTGTAAGTTTCTTCTTTGACAAACAAAAATACACAATTAGAAAAAATTCTAGGGGCGCCTGGGTGGCTCAGTCGGTTGGGCGTCCGACTTCAGCTCAGGTCATGATCTCGCGGTCCGTGAGTTGGAGCCCCGCGTCGGGCTCTGTGCTGACAGCTCAGAGCCTGGAGCCTGTTTCAGATTCTGTGTCTCCCTCTCTCTCTGACCTTCCCCCATTCATGCTCTGTCTCTCTATGTCTCAAAAATGAATAAACGTTAAAAAAAATTTTTTTTTAAAGAAAAATTCTTTTAGGGAAAGGAATCATCTTTTAATTAAAAGGCGAATCATTTGGACCCTAAGGTGTTTATGAATTCAAGTGCTGTGGTATAAAAGCTTATGATAAAGTCTGCACTGATAAAATATAATATATGGATGAGCATTTGAGCCTACAGTTTTGGTAATATGATAATCAAGTGAGGGTGGAGGCTTAAATAAATATTATATTTAACTATAGTCAGTTCTCCATGGAAATAGGCGGACTTCTCAGTTTTTCTGCTATTCAATATAAACAATAAGAATTCTCTTGCTGGGCTGCTTTATTGTGAAGACTGTTTTACAAATCACCTTCATTGAGGTATCATTTATGTACCATAAAATGCACCCATCATAAGTGTACAGTTCAATGAGTTTTGACAAATCTATATATCCATGTAACCACCACCACAATAATGATATAGAACATTTCCATCATCCCCCAGAAGTTCCCCTGTGCCCTTTTGCAGTCAGTTCCCTTCTCGGGCCCCAGGAAAGCACTGATCTGTTCTGTCACCTTAAATTAGCTTTGCCTGTTTTAGAATTTCTGTAAGTGAAATCATATAATATATATTATTTTGTGTCTATCTTCTTTTATTGTCTTTTTATTTTCTATAGAGTCTATTTATGTTTAGCTGTGTGTCATAGTCTATACATCATGTTTTAGATACTTGTGGAAAATAATATTGTAGGACATAACAATGGTTCATAAATTCCACTTATTATTAGCTATTTCGGGTGTAGTTGACTTCAAAATGAACTATTTTTAATATGTCATTTCCAACTTCTGAAAATTTTACTTTAAAAAAGTATAAAGACCCTGGAATAGCTTTTTCATTATTGAGATGTCTTTTATAATTTACTGTTCCCCTTTGGAGAAGTTTAGTTTCCAAAGCTGGCTCCAGGAGGAACTTTATTTATACAAACCTTTTTGGCACCAGCTTGAATCATCTCCTGTCACTTACACACACCTTTCCCCAAAATAGTCCAGTCCCTTTGTGTCTTATGGAGCTCACTTAATAAGCTCAGCCCATATTGGAATAAAAAAGACTATTGGTATATTATGTCCTGCAGGTGTAGGAAAAAAGGGTGTTGAGAAGGCTCTCACACCAGATGTCCCCTCAGCTCAAAAGGTAGAGAATCAGTTTCCATCGGGTCAAAGTCTCCTGCCACCTGATCATAGATTCCTCTTGTATCTTCATATGTCTCCTCAGGCCAGCAGGGATCACAGAGGCCCTGACAAACAAAGTTGGAGTTAGAACCATAGAGAGATGCCCTGTGGGTCACCATTGCAGCTCTAGGAGGGATACACACTCCTACTCAAATTCCCAGAAAAAAAAATGTTTTAGTTTCTAATTATGGGAGGGAATCCAACATATACAAAGAAGAGAGTGATTATAATGAGCCTCCATGAGCCTCAAGTCCAAGATATCTCATGATTTTTTTCAGAAAAATAATGTAAATGTCAGAAATATGAAACTTTAAAAAATGCAGGAGGGGTGCCTGGCTGGTTTAGTCAGTAGAGCATGTGACTGTTGATCTCTGGGGTTGTGAGTTCAAGCCCCACTTTGGGTATAGAGATAACTTAAAAATAACATCTTTAAGGGGTGCCTGGGTGGCTCAGTTGGTTAAGCATCTGACTCTTGGTTTTGGCTCAGGTCATGATCTCACAGGTTCATGAGATCAGGCCCCATGTCGGGCTCCGTGCTGAGAGTGCAGAGTCTGCTTGGGATTCTCTCTCTCCCTCTTTGTCTCTCTGCCCTTCCACAACTCATGTGTACACACATGCATGCTCTCTCTCTCTCAAAAATAAAAAAATGAAAGAAATAAATAAAAATAAAATCTTTTAAAAAATAAAATAGAAACAAAAAAGCATGATATCAGGAATTGTAGAATGTGAGTTGTGATTCTGTTAGTCCTATAAATTTCCACATTTTCATCAAAATAGAAGACCATGTAGAAGGATCCTTACTGTACATGTGCTTCGCCCTGGAATTGGGAGAAAATGTTTGTTTTAGCTTGGCAAACTTTAGAGCAGATTTGTCCATGGGACAAATATGGTCTGCTGCCTGTTTTTGTACTACTGAGGGGCTAAGAATGGTTTTACACATTTTAATTGATGGGAAAATATCAAAATAAGAATATTTATGACATATTAAAATTATATGAAATTCAAATTTCAGTGTCCAAAAAGGAAGTTTTATTGGAACTTAGCCACATTTGTTCATTTATATATTGTCTGTGGGTGCTTTTGTAGTACAGCTGCAAGGCTGAGTGGTTTTGAAAAGGACAGCATGTCCTGCAAAGCCCAAAATATTTATTATCTGGACCCTTACAGAAAGAGTGCAGACTGCATCTGTGCTTTAGAGGGCACATATGGTTCAGCACCACGGACAGCATTTTAATGCCCTGCTATTTCCACGCTGGTGAGAACAGTGCCCTCTCTGGGACAAAGTTACAGAGGGAAATCCTTGGCCCAGAGGTGCCAGAGCATTAGCCAAGGCCACACAGAAAGGCAACGGTTCTGACCCATCTCCCTTACTGTGGGGCAGTAGGTGGGGGTAGTTGATGGTTAAAAGTGTCTGTTGTTCTTGCCTGCCCAGCCACCATCTTCACTTCCCTCTGGGCTCTCTGTTCCTCTCCCACTCGGGCTGGTGGATTGAGTGAAACTGGCCCCTAATCCCTGATGCCATGGCTGGACACCAATCCAGACCTGTCTTAGCATAGTCCTTCCCCTGCCTCAGTGTTTCAGCAATAAGTATGTGACCAAAGCTAGACTAATAAAGTGTCAGCACTGGGGCTTTAGGACTATTGGAAAAAAGACATTCTCTTTTTCTGAGGATTTCCAATCTAATAGGATACAAACCTGAATTTTCTAGGGACATTTCTAGGGAGGAAACTCTGGGTTTCCCTTGACTTTTCAATTGAATGGGCCAAAAAAATATTTCTCTATGTCTCTCTACTTAACCAGTGTATTGGAGAAGGCTAATTATCCAACAGAATGCATAGATTCCTTCTTCCACAATAATAGAACTATAGTGAGGCATATATCTCCAAACTGGACTGTATTTCTCAGTCTCCTTTACAGTTAGGTGTGGCCATGTGACTGTGTTCTCACTGGGGAATGAATAGAGTGTACCATTTCTGGGCCTGGGCCATAAGGCAGGGTTGTACCTCCACCACACTCTATTTTTCCCTATCCCACCAGTTGAAACCCCCAGTGGACTGGCCTATCCATGCAAATTTGAACAATGTACTCACAGATAGCAGAGGAACACAATGGAAAGAACTTGAATTCTGGAATAACCACGTGCAACAAGGTCACTCACCTCTGATTGCTATGTGAGAAAGAAATAGGCAATCTTTAGACCACTGGATTGTAGCCAGGACTTTTTGCTATGGTGTCTAGCTTACCCTCACCAATATGAGCAGTAGGAGGTGGGTTTCTGGCATGAGCCAGAAGAGACTTATGCTGATACAAATCTCCTCACCATTGGTACTTCATCATACAGGGGTCCCCAGGCCCCAGATGGGGCATTCAGTCTTTCCACTTCATCATACAGGTGTCCAGGAAAAGCCATATCCTCCTCAAGATGTGTGAGACCTGGAGTTGGAGTGAAAGGAAGGGATGATCAGGGCACCCATCCAGATGTCAAGGGTATCTATGAGCAGGGGGAGTTCTGATGTGGTCATGACTCACCTCGGGGATAAGACACTTCCTCCAGTGTTGGTGGTAGCTGGGGGCTGAAGTCCTTCATGGAGTGGTAATATGGCTCTACATCTGTTGTGCTAACCTGTCAATAATGCCCACCCATGCCCCGAAAAAAAAAAACAACAGATAAAATGTTTTCTATCCTCTGATTCCATAGCTCCCAGAAAGGACAATGATAAACCCAAAGCTAATGACAGGCTTTTAGTCTGCCAGTTCACTATTAGCAGGGCATTTGGAAGCACCCCCACTCACCATGGAGCTTTGAGTGTCCTGGCCTCCAGTCCACTGGCTCTCCTCATATTCATTCCTGACTCGGTCTTCCTCCGACCTTCCAGGATAGAGGTATGGAGGGCAGTTGGGTGTTGATTCTGACACCTCTCATCCCCAAAACTCCTCCCTCAGAATCTTTCTTACAGAAAAATATTCCCACTTACCCTGCCTCTGTCTTTTCTGAGATGCCTGAGGGAAGCAGGGAAAAAGGGATCAGAGACACCCCTCCTCTGGCCAGCCAGGCCCTGAGAGACTTTCAATATGAAGCTCAGGGCTTCATGTAACCCTTGGGCCTCCATCCCCGCAGGGGAAGAGGGTCTCTCCTCACCTTCAGCAAGACGCCTCAGTCTCCGCTGCCAGAGGAATCCCCCAACACAGGAGATGTTAGAAAGCAGCAAAAGACCCCCAACAGCAAACAGCATAGGCATCAGGGGCAGCCCTGAGGGTCCTGAGGGCAGAAGGTACCCTCAATGAACCCCAAACAACTGGCTGTAGGCCCAGAGCAGCATTCTCTGACAATGCTCATTTCTGATTAAGCAAAGGTCTCTTCCCAGGTCAGAAAAGCAGATGGGCAGGGATTTCCATGTCCATTCCTTCTTTCCACCCCAGGGCAGGGTGCTTTCTCAAGTCAAGCCACTAACAGTGGGTCCTACTTCTGTCTGAGCCCCACGTGTGGATTCAGGGGGGAGCTTCAGCTCCTTAGCTGGGCATTCACGGCCTCTCCCCAGGTATCAAGCCTTGCCCACCAACCATAGACCCTGGTGTTGGACCCTCTGGCCACACAAATTAACCACTGGTTATTTCCAGAATCACTGAGGCAAAGCGACACCTGTAAGTGTGACTATTTGGAATAGTCAAATGTCTGTCCTTAAATGGCTTTTCTTCTCAACTGATTTTCTTCTCAAATGACTTCCTCTTTGCACAAGCTTCCATTCCAGATAATATCGGAATCCCTGCTATATCCCTAAGGGCAAGACTAAATCCCTCTAAGTAGACGTCTGCTCAGCATCCATCTCCCCATCTTCTGCTGACAGCACTAATTTCCTTCAAGGAAATAACCATCCCTCACTCTCAGGCTGTATGTTTCTGCAGACTTCCATGGAGGACACAATGGCCCACCCTGGCCGACGGGAGCACCCACCCCTCTTTCCACAGTGATCAGTTCAGACCAATACAGCATTTTACCCAAGGTGGATTTTTGCCAGAATAATTAGAACACTCCTCTGCTGGCTGCTAAGAAGGAGAACAGAGCTAGAAGTATGTGTGTGTATGGGGGGGGGGGGTGTTAATTCTTTGCTCTCTTGATGAAAGAACCTGAGAAGGAAGCTATAAAAGACAAAGACAAAGTTGAGAGGGGATGAGAAATAGATCCTTGGTGAATGTTGTGAGCACGTATTGGAGTTTTCAATTTCGCAAGCCAAGCATTTCTTTTTATTGCCCACACAGGTGAATTTATGTCACTTGCAACCTTCTTCTCAGACCTTGAAGGGGGACTGTTTGCAAAATGGTCATAATTCTGTCCCTATAACCACACTCTTGAGTAGTCCCCTTCCACACTGACTCTGAGTTGAGCCACGTCACTTGCTTCAGCCCATGAGGCAATAGAAAATATGACAGAATCAGAAGCTTGAAAGTGCTTGTCCTGTCCTGCTGTTCTTGAGACTCCTGTGACCACCTCCATGTGAACATGCCAAGAAGAGACATGTGGCCCAGTTACTTCCGTTATCCCAACCAAGAGCCAGATTGTCAGATGTGTGAGGAGGCCATTCTAGATCGACTAGTCCCAGCTGAGCCTCCAGCTGCCTGTGGCCCAGAACAGAAGTATTGGGTCACTCATAGAATCAAGAAAAACAATGGTTGTAGCTCTAAGTACCTGTGTTTGAAGTGCTTTATTTTGCCTCAAACGCTAACTGATACAGGCTCTGCACAGGGCAGAGAACCAGCTAATTCTTTCAGAATTAAATTGAATTAGGCAGAGAAAATATATCACATCCAGGCAAGAGAAAGAGCTGAGGATGTGGGTGAGGGACAGAGCTAAGTCTTAAGGGGCTGTGGCCACAAAACAGAGCAGGCGGAGCCGGAAACCAGAAGGTTCTATTCTCAGGGGAGGGAGGGATACTCAGCTGATTGAAAACTTACTTGTAGGCTGCTCTGTGGGCAGTTGATAGTCAGGTTGTCCAGAAGGCTGGTCTAGACCTGGGGGGGTGGGGGGGTGGTGGTGGATATAGAGATTGTGAATTAACATCAAGAATCTGGGATAAGCCTTAAGTATTTCTTAGTTTCCTATTAAGCTTTTCAACCCATTTTGAGGAACTGATTTTTGTCTTCTTTAGGAATATTTCAAAGACATCTGCAAATCCTGACAGTAATGGCAATACTATTAATAGCCACTCTAATACTACTACTACTACTAATTATTATTATTATTGATGAGTGCTTTATGCTATGGAATCTCCTTTTAACCTGAATTATCAGTTTTGGGGAGTTAATCAAAAACGATGCTGGGCTCTCGGAATGTCTTTTTTTATTTTTTATTTTATTTTATTTTATTTTAGAGAGAGAACACAAGTCAGGGAGAGGGACAGAGGAAGAGAGAGAGACAGAGACAGAGAGACAGAGAGAGAATCTCAAGCAGGCTCCATGTTCAGTGTGGAGGAGACTCAAGGCTCAATCCCAGAACCCTGGGATCATGACCTGAGCCTAAATCAAGAGTTGGACACTCAACTGACTGAGCCACCCAGGTGCCCCTCTCAGGTATCAGTTGTAGAGCAAGTGAAGTGAATGTGGTACTTTATGCTTTAGTACCTAAAGAGAAGACTCCACTGGGGGAAAGAAAGAGGAGGAATGGGAAGAACTCCTTACTTCCATGAGGAAAAAGACTGGTCTGTCAGGAAGGGAAAGACAGAAAGAGTGAGTTTTCATGGGGCAGTGTAAACAGAAGTTGGGGGGGGGAGGGGGTGCATTTCTTTGAATCGGCATTTACATAGCATTTACTTTGTATGGGTCCATGTTTTAAGCACTTTAGACATATTATTTAATCCTCACACTGTCTGAGAGACACCTTAGTTTCAGAAATAGGCACAGAGATCTGAGATACCTTATTTTTAGAAACTGAGGCTCAAAAATGTTAAGTAATTTGCCCAAGGTCTCACAACTAGGAAGTGGCAGGGCTGAGACCTGAATCCAGGCTTGTCTGAACCAGGCTCTGTGGATTAACCACCACATTACAGTGCCTGTCAGAGTCAAAACGTTCTTCTCATTAGTCATAGTAAAGAATTTGCCCCTTTCATCAAAGTTGCTGAATTTATTGGCATAAAGTTGTCCATAATATTCCCTAACTTGTCCTTAATATCTGTAGATTAGTAGTAATGTCCTCTCTCATTCCTGATAATGGTGAGGTTGCGTCTTCCCTCTTTTTTGCCTTGATTTTTGTTGGGGTTTTTTTGTTCTTTTTTTAAAGTTTATTTTTGAGAGAGACAGAGACAGCATGAGTGGGGGAGGGGCAGAGAGAGAGGGAGACACAGAATCCCAAGCAGGCTCTGAGCTCACTGTCAGCACCGAGACTGACATGGGGCTTGAACTCATGAACCGAACAGTGAGATCATGACCTGAGCTGAAACCAAGAGTCAGACGCTTAAACCAACTGAACCACCCAGTCGCCCCTGCCTTGATTAGCTTTATAAAGGTTATTGATCTTTTCAAAGCAGCAGCTTTTGGCTTCATTGATTTTTTTCTATTGTTTTTCTGTTTTCTAGTCCATCGATTTTTGCTCTTACCTTTATTATTTTCTTCCTGTTTCCTTTAGGTTTAATTTGCCCTTCTTTTTCTAATTTCTTAAGATAGAAACTAAGCATCAATTTGAAGCCTTTTTAAAAATCTAAATGAGGGGCGCCTGGGTGGCGCAGTCGGTTAAGCGTCCGACTTCAGCCAGGTCACGATCTCGCGGTCCGTGAGTTCGAGCCCCGCGTCAGGCTCTGGGCTGATGGCTCAGAGCCTGGAGCCTGTTTCCGATTCTGTGTCTCCCTCTCTCTCTGCCTCTCCCCCGTTCATGCTCTGTCTCTCTCTGTCCCAAAAATAAATAAATGTTGAAAAAAAATTAAAAAAAAATCTAAATGAGCACTCAATGTTACAAATTTCCTGCTAAGCACTGCTTTAGCTGCAGCCCACAATTTCCATGTTTTCATTTTCATTCAATTCAAACTTTCTTCTAATTTCCCTTGTGTCATTAATCACATTCAGACAGTATAGTTTAGTGGCTAAAAACCGCTTCCTGGAGTTCATCTTCCTGAGTTCCAATCTCATCTCTACCTCCTTCTAGCTGTGTGAGCTTCAACAGTTTGCTTAACCTCTCTAGTCCTCAGTTTCTTCATCTATAAAAAGGGAATAATAGTATCTACTTCACTATACCATCCTACAAGTCCCCTGAGGAGGTCTAAAACCTGCTCAAGACTGTCTTTTCCCACCTGGGGTGGTGACAGAGATCTGGGACCCCTTGTCCATTAGTCCGCTGTCCCCCAGGGCATTGCTGGCCAGCAGCCAGACCCTGTATCGTGTAGAGGGCTGCAGCCCAGTCAGTGTGAAGGTGGTGGCCTGAGGTGGTAGGACATCCATGTAGAGGAACCCTGGAGTCCCCAGAGCCTCATACCTGTATGAGAGGAAGGGCAGTCATTGAGGGAGGTGCCCCAGCCCTGCTGGCTGCCATCCCTTCCTGCCTTGACAGGAACCCACCTGATTTGGAACCTCTGTGGCAAACCCCCATCAAAGCCAGGCTTCCATTCCAACCCCACTGAGTATGGGGTCATGCTCATGACCTTTAATCCTGTTGGGGGATCTGGGCGGCCTTTGAGGAAAAGGATGAGGGAAATAGTCAGAGGATACAAAAGGGTTCTGCAAGATTCCTTCCAGATTTTTCTAAGAATGATTTTAAATATACAGTTGATTCTTGTTATTAGTAGTGGTTATGTTCTATAAAGTTGCTATGACCACTGAATTACAGAATATCAAATCATTGCTTCTGGGAGAAATGCAGAGTCAGACCCCTGTGAGCCTGCAGTCACATTTTCATCAACCAGTCAATACATGATCTTGTTTTGTGTGTGCTTCTGTCTAAAGACACCTTATTTAATATATCTTATTGATTGACTCATTAACATTGAACTCACGGCCAACAACGTCATAATTGATGTTTGAAGGAAGCCTATCCAAGAGAAGTGTTTTCTCCATATGTTTAGGAACAGTAGATAGCAATTCAGGACTGTGCCTAGAGGCCATTTTAAATAGCAAGATCACTAACAAAAGGCACAAAAGTGCAAAAAAAAAATGTGGCACCAGATAGGGCCACAAAGAAGACACTTCGTTATAGGATGAAAGCGGAACAAGAAGGCAGAGTGTCACCTTATTCTACCTCAGCTGAGAATGTCCTCACTGGGCAACTCAATTTTTTTGCCTGCTCTGGACATGTCCCCGAGTGACCAAGAAAGCAGCATGAGTGTTGATTTTGAGGTTACGAATAAACTTTAGCAAGTAGGCAAATTTACAAATACAGACTTGACAAGTAATGAGTATTGTCTGTACATGACATACATTCCTTGTGTGGATTTTTTGGTGTCTATTTCACATCCATTCCTCATTTCTTCTGGTTACAAAATCCTGAGTATCCTTTGGAAAACCACTAGCCCACATTCTTAGGCCACATGCTTCTGATGGAAGTGACTCCACTCCCTGGTAGGATAGATTTGTGTCCAGGCCAAACCAACCAGAATGTCGCCTTCCCTGACCACAGGGTTTGTTCAGGGGTGGGATGGGAGCTGAGTAGAGCCAATGAGTCTTAACTCTAGTACTTTCATACCACTGTTAGGAAAAGAAAAAATTCTATGTCCCCTGGGAAGTCTAACAGCCCTCCATGAGGAGCCTTAGAATAAAGCCAACACAGAAAAGCAGACCTGAGAGACAGAGAGTTCTGGATGGCAGTGAACCTAGATCAAGCAACTCCTAATGATCTACTTTTTGGTTACTTGGGCCAATAAATTATCCCTCACCCACCCACTGCCTTTTTTTTTCTTTGCTATGAGTTTTCCTAAAGATCCAGAATCTATTAGGATTTTCAGGGCAGGCAGAAACTCCATCCTCACTCATAAACACGTCTCAGGTTTGGGGAACACTGCCATTCTGGGCCAACCAGAGACTTGGGGATTGACCCAGGGAGCACCCTCCCAACACCCTCACACCCCACTCCCACCATACTGATGCTGACGAGTTGAATGTTGGTGCGGTCTGAGCCAAGGGGGTTGGTGGCTGTGCACGTGAACAGGGCATAGTCCTGGGCCGCAGACACATTGGCAATAGTCAGGAGACTGCTGTGGACCATACCCTGGTGGTATGTGTGCTCTGTGTATCTGGAGAAGAGGTGTGGCAGGGACTCAGGGAAGGTAACTAGGGTTGGGGGACCAAAGTTGGGACTAGGGTGCTACATGGCTAGGCCTTGACTCACCTGGGATCCTGGAGATCCAGAGCGACTCCATTTTTGGTCCAAGTGAAGACGATGTTAGGGACACCTCGGGCACGACAGTGGAGGGTGGCAGAACTGGTGCTATCTCCAGCTGCCGCCACCTTAGTTAGGGGGGTGGGGTGCTCCACCTGGGGGGCAACTAGGAGGGGTTGTTGGTCAACATAAGGTATGTGGAAGGACATGAGAAATGTGGGCTTAGTGGCAGGCCTTGAAGTCAGGATTTTGGGTGTCACTCACATCTGACAACAAGTCGGACCAGCCCTCGGGCTGGAGGTGCTACTCCATTGTCCACGATGCACTGGTAAGCACCAGCCTGGTCCAATTTGGCATGGTGAATTCGAAGACGCCCTGTGGATCCCTTTGACATCTTCTCCATGTCATCCAGGCTGTGGTCCTCTTCCTCTTCTCCCTTGAGGCACAAGATACAGAAGATGGCCCCCAAGTCTGACCCCAGCTCTGTTATCCCCCAAACTGGGTCCCTCCTGTATCTTTATTCTCCTAGGCACAATCATCCTCCACAGATCTAGCAAAGAAAAAATTCCCTATCCATTCCCCCAGTCATCCATCTATCTATCCATTTATCCAATCATTTGTGCATGGGTCCATCCACTCATCCACCAATCCAGACAACTATTCACCCATCCATTTATCCAACCATTCATGCTTGGAACCATTTATCTACCCATCCACCTGTCTATTTGACCACGCACCTATTTATCAATTTATTCATTTATCTGTCCATCCATCTACCTCTCCTATCCATTCATTCATTTGCCCATTCATTCACCCAGCTATTTATCTTCCTTCTATCTATCCATCTGCCCACCCTTCCATCTGTCCACCCATCCACCTCATCTATTTGTTCATATGCGCACATACCCATAAATACATGCAACTGTTCATCAGCCCATCCAGATACCTATTTATTTATCTCTTCATCTCTCCACTGACCTCTGCACCCATCCATCCATGCATCCATCCATAATCTTTTCACAGACATCTTTCTATTGATGGTGTATTTATCCATCCATTTACTCTCTAATTTAATCCATTTATTTCTCTCATTCAGTCATTTACCTACTTATCTATTCATCATCAGTCTATTCATTCACTTGTCCATTTGTCCATCCATTCATTCATTCATTCATCCATCCATCCACCTACCTATTGATCCATATATCCATCTACCTGCCCACCCGCTCATTTGGTTATCTATCCACAAATGCACCCGTCCATCTGCCATTCACCTGCCAGTTCTCCAGTTCACTGGAGTATCTCCCAATAAATATGTAATTATACAGGATCGTGTAGATGTGATCCCTCCTCCCAAAGAATTCACAGTTAAGAAACCACATCCCCAGACCCCACTTCCATTTACCAAAGGTTGGATCCTTACCAGCCTCTCCCAGTTGAACATCCCTGGAAGGATGGGATTGGCATCAACGGTGCAGACTATATCCACAGAACCCCCAATATTCACCTCAGTAGGGTCCTGGAGAACTCGTATAGTGGGGGCATCTGGGGGAGGCAAGGATTTGGGGAAGACACTTGGGCCTACACAATTGATGGTGAGAGAAGGTCCCAAGTAGGAGAGGTGTTCAGGAAAGTTACAGGTGTAATACAGACTGCCCTTTATGAAGAGCACTTGGAGTAAAGTTCTCAGTGTTAGTGAGACATTCCCCACCCTCTACTGTGTCTCTGTGGTGACAAGAGTAGGTCTGGTGGACTTCCAGGATTGTGTGGAAATGGAGCTTCCACAGCGGGCTTGGCTTCCTGATGAGAGTAATTCCTATGTAGGTGGGCCCCCTGTCTGAGCAAATTCCACATAGGGTCTCACTAGTGGACAGGGTTCCCAAAGTGGGAGTGACTCCATCACAGTAGAGGCTCCCGGAGTGGGAAGCTTTCAGGATGGGTGAATATCTCCGGGTGTGTGGAGCTTCCACAATAAGGAGACTCCACAGTGGGCAAGGTTCCCTGAGTTGGTGTGGTTATCATGGAGGGCAGGCCCCCCAGAACACTCTAGTTTCCTAGGATGATGAAGGGGGCTCACAGTGTACATCCAGCCGCACTAGTGCTTCGGCGGTGCCCTCTGAGTTCTGGCAATGCAGCTGATAAAGGCCATCATCAGCACGGGTCACGTTCCATAGCTGCAGAGCTCCACCAGACAGGATGCGATGCCGAGGGCCACCAGCTGGGGAAGGTCAGGGTGAGGGAAACGCACCCTTCTCTATGTCCAGGAGACCCACACCCTTCTCTATGCTCACTCCGCGCACCTGGGCTGAGGCGGTAGCCCCGGAAGGTCCAGTTGAAGGCCTCCGGGGCAGGGTTGGCAGACACAGACACAGGCAGCAGTGCCTCACCCTGCTCCACCGCGGTCACCACAAGCACCTGCTCCCCCAGGAACTCTGGAGGGTCTGTGGAAGGAGCACCACCACGAGTCAAGATTGTTGTTAAGGCTGGGGTCCGAGATGGATTTGAGATCAGGTACCGGTATAAGGGTTAAAGTTAGGTCATAACTAGATTTAAGGTTGTGGACAAGGTAACAAGTTCAGAGCTGAGCTCAGAGGTTAGGTTCAGGATAGAGGTCAGAATCCAGTGTAGGAAAAGGATAAAGGCCAGAGTCAGGTTAGAAGATGGAGAGAGGGTTCGGGATGGAGGTCACTGTCAGGGGTCAGGATAGAGGGCAAAGGCAAAATGGAGGTTGGGCAGGGTTGGAGTTGGTGTAGAGTCGGGGGTCAGGATAAAGGTCCAGAAAGTTTCAAGCTTTAGATTGGAGATAAAGGACAGTGTCGAGGTGAAGACCGAAGTAGTAGAGGATCAGGAGGGAATCCAGAGGGTTCCACATACACAGCACATTGAGGCGGTAGAAGGCGCTCATGGTTTCCCGCAGCTCAGTGCTGTGGGCTCGGCAGGTCACTCGGTGGCCGTGGTCACGGGATGACATTCTCAGAAGGACACTCCTGGCTGCTGCCGATCCTTTGAATGGGGCACTACGGGGTGGTATGGCCACACTTTCCAGCCTGTGGACCAGGCAGGGGTGGCGGAGTCAGGCCAGAGCCAGCTCAGGGATGGAACCAGAGCCAGAGGCATACTAGGTACAGGGCAGGACACCAGGGGTGGGGAGGGGAGCTCAGACGGTAAAGAGGCATGACCAGAACCAGAGAGTGGTGGGGCCGTTCGCACTCTCACCTCTCCCCCTCCTTGTCCCATGACAAATTGACAGGAGGGTTACTGCTAACGCTGACGCAAGTCAAGTTTAAGGCATCCCCTGGGCGCAGCGCCGACGCATTGGCCAAGATCGTCACGTTTGTTGGGGGAACTTCAAGAATGAGTCGGAAAAGCGAGGCTCAGAGCCTGCTTCCGCCTCACCTAGACTCCAGGCCCAGCTGCACAAGTCCTGGCTCTTGGCATCCACTGTCCCCCAGCCGGGCTCTGGCTTAGTTCCCCGCCGCGACCAAACCCTCCCCCAGGCCACGGCCGTGCGCGCCCTCACACTGCACCACAAGCTGCGTGGATGCGCTGAGCTGACCCGCCTTGCACGTGAACTTGGCCTGGTTGTCCGACGGACCCGCGATCAGTACAAGCTCGCGGGAGAAGGTGCTCCCCGACTTCTCCAGACTTCCCAGCTGCACCCGCCGCGGCTCCTGGGGCGGCCGCGGTTCGGTCACCGCACGGGAGTCCTGGGGGCAAAGACTGACGGGGGGGACCGCGTAGGCCTGCCATTTCCCCCACAAAGAGCCTCATCGGGTTGGCTGCCCCCAGTCCAGATAAAGCCTTCCTGTGATGAAGAAAAGGCGCCCCCTTCCGCTGGCACCCAGCTAGGGTAGAGGAATGGGGATTGGAACTGAGCACCTCCCACCTGGAGTCTCTCCCACTTACCCTGGGCCCCCAGAGCTCCGCGGTTTTGCGGTGGGATCTGGCTTCCAGGCCCACGCCCCCATTCCCCGCCCCGCCTGCTCTGCTCTCTGGAGGCCAGCAGTTGTTAGCGCCCCCTGCCGACCCTCAGCCCCACTCCTCAACAACCACTCCAGCTGCGCTTAGCAAACACCACCTGCCTGGAAACTCCCATGGAATCCTCAAGCCTTTCCCAGAATTTCTTCATTTTTTTCCTATCTTTAGTTCTTTTTCTTTACATTCCCACTTTCCCCAAAGATTTCCTTTGATTGTTCTTTTAATTCTATAGTCTTTCCACAGGTTTCTGAATCCGTTCCCAATATTCTCTTATTACCCTAAAATAGTCTTTAACCTGTGTAATGCCCAAATTCTTGGCATTTTCCCAGAGTTCTCTCCAATGAAATTTCATCCCTATAATCCCTAGTCTTTCCCCCAAAATTTCCACTAGCCCTCTAATTTCCCAGGATTTTCTCAGAATTCTGTCAGAATTTCTCTTAATTTTAATGGAATTTCACTTTCTTGCCCCCAAGTCCCACGAATTAATTAATATGAATAGATTTACAAATGTTCTGTGGAATAACTAGTCTCTCCCCAAAATTTCCAGCCTTTACCCTATCTTTGTCTTTGTTCCTGGAATTCTTAGTCTTTCTCTAAAATTCCTGCCATTGCATCTGAATCCCCAAAATTTCATGAGAGTTTTCTTTATTTTTGATGAAATTAATTGCCTTTTCTCTAGAATTCCCTATCCTGATCTAGAATGCCTTCTTTTCCCCCAGAATTCTCACTGTTTTCCCAGAATTCCAAGAGTTTTCCTAGGATTCCATCTAATTCTAATGGCATTTGTGTCTTTCCCAGTTCCCTACCAAAACTCAAACTCTCCAGTATTTTTCAAGAAATTCAAGTTTTCCCAAGATTTCCCAAGACTCTGGAGGAAAGAAAGGGCTTCATCTTTCCCCCACTTTTCTGGCCACCCCACACCCCTTGCTTGGCACCAACCTTGAACCAGGTAAGAGATGGGTCTGGGTTGCCTCCAATGGCCAAACACACCAGCCTCACCCGAGTCCCAGCCCGGAGGCGCTGTCCCTCTGGGGGGCCCTCTATCCACAACTTCTGGGCAGGATCTGTGGGGAGAGCCAGGAAGAATGGCCTTTCTCTCTGGGCTGGGTCTGACGGGGGTGGGGGTGGGGGGTGGGGAGGGGTCTCTAAGGGATGGGGCGCCTCTGGGCAAAGGTGGGGGCTCACATTTCACGTTCAGGATAAGTGACTTCTTGAAGGTCTCCTTGGTGAAGGCCTCACTAAAGGCTTCACACGTGAGGGTCAGACCATTGTCCTCCCGTCGCACCAAGAATGTCAAGTTGGACATGGAGATGTGGCCACCATGCAGGCCCTGGCAGGGAGAGAGCTTCAGACTTGGGAATGAGATCACTCCCATCCATGGTACTGAGGGCTGGGCTCAACTGGGACCCTAGCAGGGACACATAAAGCATCTCCACCCTCTCCTCTGAGACCCAGGAGGCCAGGACCCCAGTGCATACTCCCCAAGGACCAAGGCATCCAGGCTGCCAGACCCATCCTCGCCCAGATCCAGGAGTCATGCCCTCAGCTCCCTCCTCCCTCAGACCCGGGAGCCTGGCCACCGCCTCACATCCATGACCATGTCTTCTGTGGGCAGCAGCTGCCGCCAACCCAGCCACCATCGCAACAGGACCCGTGGGCGACTGGACTTGGTGATGCAGGAGAGTGTAACGTTCTTGTTCTCAGACTGGGACGCAGATCCCAGGATGGTAATGGCACTGGGGGGGACTGCAGAGACGATGGACAGAGGAGAGACACTAAACTAGGCTGGATGCCTCACAGGCCGGCCCAGATAAGGGACTGGGGACAGATGACAAGGTCTTTGGCATCAGTCAGGCATGATTTGGGAGCACAAACAGATGGTTCTCTGGGGCACAGACTGACAGACGGGCAGTTGGCATCAGGACTCACAGGTGACCTGCAGGGTGACCCCACGTTCCTGGATTCCCGTCGATACGCTGTTGTGGGCCTCACAGCTGAGCCTCGCCCCGTGGTCTTCTGGTCGCACAATCATCACTAGCATGCTTCGGGCCACTGCCTCAGCATGCTCTGTGCCCCACGCTGTGGACATGGGCTGGCCATTCTGGAGACAGAGACAGACCTGGGCCAGCTCAGGGCCAGCTCCTCCCCCTACCCTCCCACCCCCATGCCTGCCTCTGCCCTCACCTTCAGCCACTGCAGTGTGGCTGGCGGATTTCCCCCTCGGGACACACACAGCAGCTCCAAGCTCTGTCCTGCCCGCACATGCCCCTCGTCCAGGCCTGGCCATTCAATGACAGGAGGTCCTGGGGGGACTGGGAAGCAGCACTCATTGGGCCTGTGGAGCTCATCCATTCTTTCCAGGACCCACAACCTGCCTCTTGAACCCCCATGTTTCTCCTTGAGAGTCTGAACCTTCCATAATCCCTGAACTCCCCAGGACCCCCAATTCCTGCTTCCCACCCCTAATGTCCATAGCTGACTCAGTTCCCTACTTACACAGAACATTCATGGTGACTGAGACCCGGATAGGGGTGTCCAATGCTGGGCTGGAGCCCTCACAGACCAGCAGCTTCCCATTATCTGAGCTCTGAGGTGTCACCCTGGGGTGGGAAGTTGGGGTTCTGGAGTCAGAGTCATCTGAAATTTGGGGAGTCAGGGTGAAGAGGTGGGGATCCCAGTTTCCCACATCTGGTCTAAGTTTCTCTGCTGGTTTCCTCTAGGATCTAGAGTTCTATGGAAGACATCTGGGGGGTCGGCAGTGAAAACTGGAATCCCGGAGCCCACACCAAAGCCCTTGGACTTGATGCTCTGGAATTTGCATTCATTTCCATGAAGATGTTTTGAAGTGTCAGAGTAAAGAATTAGGTCCCAGATGTTCACACCTGACTCTAGTCTCTGTGCATAAATCCCTGGGATATGGGGTTTTCATGGGAAAATTTGGGGGCCAGGCTGAGGGAAGGCATCCCAATTTTCATACCTGGCTGTGGCCTCTGTGGTGAAGAGTTTCTCCTGGGACCCCACATTCACATTAGCAGAGATGTCAGAAATTGTTTGTCCACCTTGGGGTAACAAGAGGGCTAGAGGGGTGCCAGGTTCCCCCCAAGGTAGATCCTGAAGAGAATGGCCTGGAAATCCTAGGGTGCACATATTGCCCCCTCCCTCCTAGTTCCAGAGGAAAAGCACCAGCTCTGTTCCTCCGCAAGTTCAGCCCTCCCGGAGTCCCTGAGGCCAAGTCCTGGGCCTCACCCCTGTCCTCACCACCTTGCTGGGTTGTATCACTCACCCCCATCACCCAGCTTCTTGCTTCTGCACCAACGATGACACGCATATCTCTGTCTGGAGCCTCGGGCTCTTCCCTGAGTTCCAGAACTGCAGTCCTGCAATCACTCTGGTACCTTTCCCTGGATGTTCCCTCCTATTCACAGGGTCTCACGCTGACCTCAACATCTCTCCAAGCCCCCTCCTGCATCCCCACCACTCAGGAAGGTCCTATTTTCTGGGACCCCTAGGAGGGCACTGGGCGGGGACACACCCCCTCCCCACTCCAGAGGCTTTACACTGTTCCCACCAGTTCACCCACTCACTCTGGATGAAGGTGATGTCAGGTGCTGGCTTTGCATCCCCAGACACACAGCTGACCACGTACTCCTGCCCAGCTACCCATGTGACTGTGCTTCCTGCTTCAGGGGTCAGCTGAAGCACCTTGGGGGGCACTGGTGAGAAAGGGTCTGAGGTGAGCTGCCACCACTGAGAAAGATATGAGGATTTGGGTTTTCAGTCTCATTGCTCATGAAATGAGCTCGGCGCCCTGGGTCTGGGACTGGGGCCTGGGGACTGGGGACTTGGAACCCTGGGCCCTGGGATAGGAAAGGGCTGGAAATCTGGACTCAAGGGTCCTGGGGGTCTCTCACCCATACCCAGGATGGTAAGGATCACTCTGGGGGACACGAGCTCGGGGCCTGTCTCTGAGCGGCCGACCTGACATTCATACTCTGCATCGTCACTGAGGTCACACGCTTCAATGTGCAGGTGGAATTCACCTGCAGGTAAGACCAAGAGTCCCAGGTCAGGGCCACAGTCAGCCCCTGCTGGTGGCTTAGAGTCTTAGGCCCTGACCGCTTACCTCTATCGGGGTCCCCTTCTAGGCGGTACCTCGGAAAGCTGGGGATCCTAGGATCAGGGCCTAGGAGTAGCCCATCTTTGGCCCATTGCACCGCACTGCCAGGGGCGCTGACCCCACACCGCAGCTCAGCAGTGGCCCCCTCGACCACCGTCAAGTTTTCAGGCAGAGCCCAGAAGCCTCGAGGGGTGGAAGCAGGGAGTGGCAAATGGGCCAGGCCTGGGGACACAGGGCTGTCAGCAGGAGAGGGCAGGGGGTCTGTCTGGAGAACATGAGCGGGAACTGAGGGCCACATGGTGCTGGGTCACAAGACCAGGATTCCACTCACCTGTGGTCAGCAGCCCCAGAAGGAGCAGGGGAACCCTGCCAGGGGTCCTCAGGGCCATCCCAGGTCCTCTGCCTGTGGCTCCTGTGGTGTCCACTGCCTACCTGCTGCCTCTGTTTCTGTCTTTCTCTGGGTCCTTCTATGTCTCTTGCTTTGCTTATCGTCCCTCTTTGTCCATTTGTCTCCTTCTCTTTCTCTGGTTTCCTCTCTTCCCAGGAGTCAGTCCGTCAGTCTCTCCCTCCCTCTCTCTCTCTCTCTCT